GGGGTCCTTGTTGCTCTCTGAACTTGGCTGTTTTCTTGCAGACATTTCATGACCCAACTAGGTAGCAACATCAGTGCTAGAAGGGAGTGATTGTGAAGATGGGAGGGAGGGAGGGAGGGAGGGAGGAGGAGGAGGAGGAGGAGGAGGAGGAGAACTATGGTGTCCTTGGCGCTCTCTGACCTTGGCTGTTTTCTTGCAGATGTTTCATTACCAAACTAGGCAACATCATCAGTCCTAGAAGGGTGTGGTGTTTGCTCTCTGTTTATATACATTTATAACCCCACTCCCTATTAGCCTGATGATATTATCTAGTCTGGTAATGTAACGTCTGCAAGAAAACCACCCAGTTCAGAGAGCACCAAGGACCCCACACAAGACCCCTTCGGTGGGCTAATATGGTTACCACAATGCCGTAAAACAAAACTGTAGACTAGCCAATCCTAGATTAGGCATCTGCCCAGGAGTCCTTTAAGGAAAGGGGTTCAACTTCATAGTTTTTTTGTCTTTAAAGGCAAGTATGATCCTCTCTAAGGGTGTCCTAGTAGAACAGGGGTGGGGAACCATGGCTCTTTTATGACTGGTCGACTTCAACTCCCAGAATTCCTGAGCTGGCCATGCTGAGGGGAAAGGGAGAGGTTTCCAAGCTGAGCCATGCTGGCTGAGGAATTCTGGGAGTTGAAGTCCGCAAGTCATGAAAGGGTCATAGTTCCCCCATGCTGGCTCAGGGATTCTGGGAGTTGAAGTCCTCAAGTCATGAAAGGGGCCATAATTCCCCCATGCTGGCTGAGGAATTCTGGGAGTTGAAGTCCACGAGTTATGAAGGGCCATAGTTCCCCCATGCTGGCTGAGGAATTCTGGGAGTTGAAGTCCACGAGTTATGAAGGGCCATAGTTCCCCCATGCTGGCTGAGGAATTCTGGGAGTTGAAGTCCACCAGTCATAAAAGAGCCAAGGTTGCCTACTCCTGTAGTAGAACATGATCAAATAAGTTTCTTTCAGCCTGGGACATTAGAAGTAGCATCCCGCCTATTTACGTCGTTGGTCCTTCCATCCTTGGGAATGTAAAACCGAGCTCTCCCTCTCTTTTTCAGGTAGCTTGCAAGCCACCCGGGCCCTGATGGTGTCCAGCATCCTTCTGGGTCTCATCGGAGCTTTTGTCGCCATGATCGGCATGAAATGCATGAAGTGCTTGGAAGATGATGAGGTCAAGAAGTCAAGAATGGCCATCCTTGGAGGTGTCATCATATTAATCTCAGGTGAAGAAGGTCTTTCTTCTGCCAATCCGTGTCTATGGACCAGGGTCCGCCTAGGCCTGGCTATTATTTTGGGGTCTTGCAAAGAGACGTCGGTATGGAAGCCACCAGAGATGGGCCCTTAGGTTGGATTCCTGGGAAAGAGGGGGGACACAAAGTGGAACACCAACCATTGGTATGGTCTGGGTGGGGAGAAGGTCCCTAGTCTGTCAGCCTTGCTGAAATTAAGCCCAATGGGTGGCTGACTTGGGGATGACTTGAAAGATCTGAAACCCAAGAGAGAAGATAAGCCGGGTGCAAATCTGATCAATTCACGGTCTCACACCAACAGCCATGCCAGATGTTGGCCAGCCTTTCTCAAAGTAGGATCCTCCAGTTCTGTAAACAGTGGAGTAATGTCTACAGAGTTGTGATAGCTCCATCTCTGGAGGCTTTGAAGAAGAGGCTGGACAGCTGGCTGGGGAATTCTGGGAGTTGAAGTCCACCCATCTTCAAGTGGCCAATCCTGAGAAACACTCTACGAGATGGTCCCGGCTCGTGCATCCCAAACTACAATTCTGTTACTCTACATGTGTTGAACGTCAGTTCTCCTATCGCGTCCAACACATCTGGAAGGGGCCGTCTTGAGGAAAGCTGGTGTGAGCTGGTGTGTCATAAGCAGCCACGCTTACTGGAAGACTATAAGCAGTCCTTCCTTCTTGGAAGTTGTGTGTCATGAGTTGACTTCACAACCTCTT